TGGAAGAAAAAGAGGTCGGGCATGGTGGCTTACGCCTGTAATCCCAGCACTTTGGGAGGCCAAGGCTGGTGGGTCACCTGAGCTCAGGAGTTCGAGACCAGCCTGGCCAGCATGGTGAAATCCTGTCTCTACAAAAATGCAAAAATTAGCTAGGCATGGTGGCACATACTTGGGAGGCTGGGGCAGGGGAATTTCTTGAACCCAGAAGGCAGAGATTGCAATGAGCTGAGATTGTGCTACTGCACTCTTGCCTGGGAAACACAGCAAGACTCCATCTCCAAAAAAAAAAAAAAAAAGAGAGAGAGAACGAGTCTAAAACAAAATCTGGAAGGATGGCCACGTCAGGAAGCCACAAAGAGAGAATGGAGCCTATAAATGTTGGAGAATGATGAAATTCCCAAGCATCCCCATGGGAGATAGTAGGGTGGTGAAGCTCATGCACTCTGTAAATCATTTCCTCTGAGCTCATGGTTTAGAGTCTCCATCTATTAATTGTGCTGGCTGTGTGACCTGGGGAAGTTACATCTCTAAGCCTCAGTTTTCTAATCTATTTAGTGGGATGATAGTGCCTACCTCAGAGTTGTTGCAAGTACGAAGTGAGGCCATCCATGTAGCATGCCTCCCTGCCTCCCTGTTGGTATGGTGTGTGTGTGTGGTTGCTGCCTCTACATATGTATTTTCCATTTTCTTGTCCACTTTATGCCTCTTTCTAGGATGACTGAAGGCTCCAGAAGGCTCTGAGTTCTGTTCTGCTGTGTGTTTTTTTTTTTTTTTTTTTTTTGGGCGGAGTTTCACTCATGTTACCCAGGCTGGAGTGCAATGGCGCGATCTCGGCTCACCGCAACCTCCGCCTCCCGGGTTCAGGCAATTCTCCTGCCCCAGCCTCCTGAGTCGCTGGGATTACAGGCACGCGCCACCATGCCCAGCTAATTTTTTGTATTTTTAGTAGAGACGGGGTTTCACCATGTTGACCAGGATGGTCTCGATCTCTTGACCTCGTGATCCACCCGCCTCGGCCTCCCACAGTGCTGGGATTACAGGCTTGAGCCACCGCGCCCGGCCTGCTGTTTGTTTTTTAAAAAAATTTTCTGCCTTCTTTAGAAAAATCATGTGTGAGGTGGTGTCCTTGGCTGAATACCTCCAGCTCCTCCAGAACCTGTCTGGGGGCCAGGCTGAGAATCACATATTTGCGCTTTTCTAACCAGGGCAGGGAACAGTAGTGGTTAGGAGCCTTGTGCCCAGAGCCAAGCGAATCAGCTTTTTTTTTTTTGGGAAGAAGAGACCAAATTATCCCTGGGAGGGTAGAGCCTATCTTCTGCAGTGCCCCAGATAGCAGCAGCCTCAGCTGCTGCCTTTGTGGTCTACCTCCTTTTGTAATTTGCACATTAGGCCAGAAGATGGGGCTCTTGACCCTGGAGTCAAGGGCCAGCGACTCGACTTTTTCCACATTTGAACTGGAGAGAAGTCAGATCCACCAGAGCTCCCAAGAATCACCTCTACTCAATTCCTTTCCCTACCCTACCTACTCCACTTCTGCCATGACTGGGACCTGCCTTCCAGGCGAGTGGGGGATGTGGGCACATCTTTCCTTTGGCCACTGTCCTTGGCTCCCCCTGAATGTGACCACGTTGCCAGAGTCATTCTTTCTGACCCCCTGCCTCAGGTTTCCCCCTCTAATCCATTGTCCCCTAATGGCAGATTTGGAAATGGTACCTTTTTCCCTTTTTTTTTTTTTTTTTTTTTTAAGGCTGAGTCTCACTCTTGTTGCTCAGACTGGAGTGCAATGGCGTGATCTCGGCTCACTGCAGCCTCCACCTCCCAGGTTCAAGCGATTCTCCTGCCTCAACCCCCCAAATAGCTGGCAATACAGACGTGTCACTATGCCCAGCTAATTTTTTTGTATTTTGAGTAGAGATAGGGTTTCATCATGTTGGCCAGACTGGTCTCGAACTCCTGACCTGATCACTCAGGTGATCAGCCTGCCTCGGCCTCCCAAAGTGTTGAGATTACAGGCATGAGCCACTGTGCCTGGTAGATGGTACCATTTTTACAGGCCAATACAACATAGTGGTCAAAAACTCTAGAATCAGAGAGCTTGCCCTAACTTATCTCCTCAGGTGAATCTTTCCCCACTTCCTCAGAGAAGCTCTCCCTATCCCATGCCAGTTACTCTTTATCTTTTATTTACTTAATAGTAGTGATTATAACTAGTGATTATCTTGTTTGATGACTTGTTTACTTTCTTTCTCCCACTCTATTGTAAGGCTCATGAGGCCAAGGACACTGTTTGTCTTAATTGCTGTTTTCCCAACACCTAACACAGGGCATGATACATAGGTTCTCAGCAAGTGTTTTGAATTAATAGATGAATAACGGAATCCCAGCTTCATGACTGCCTGACCTTGAGAAAGTTGCTTAACTTCAGTGAGTCTCAGTTTTCTTACCTGTGAAATAGAAAAAGAGTAGAGACATTATGACTGTTAAATGATACAATGCCTTTATACCACTAAACCCATGTTCTGGTGCATGGAAATTTTCCCCAAAGCCTTCAGTGTCCTACTTTTTATCATATAAGAAAAATAAAGTCTGAATGAGTTAGCTAGATCTCCACAATTTGATCACAGCCTTTCCTTTTTTTTTTTTTTTCCTGAGACAGGTCTCCCTCTGTCACCCAGGCTGGAGTGGAGTGGTGCTGAAGCCTCTCCTGGGCTCAGGTGATCCTCCCACCTCAGCTTCCTGAGGGGCTGGGACTACAGGTGCATGCCACTATGCTTGGCTACTATTTTTGGATTTTAAAAATAGTGATGGAGTTTCTACATGTTGCCCAGGTTGGTCTCGAACTGCTAGGTTCAAGGGATCCACTTGTCTTGACCTCTTAAAGTGCTGGGATTACAGGCGTGAGCCACCGTGCCCAGCCCACAGCCTTTCTCTGTCACAACTTTTACTTCCCACTGCTCTTCTTATTAACTTTCTGCTTTGGCCCAAATTGTGGCTACCATGAATGGGTCATTGTGCATTATTATTCTTTTTTTTTTTTTTTTTTTTTTGATGGAGGGGTTTTCCTTTTTCTCAGGAGGCAGTGCTATGGCGCGATCTCGGCTCACCGCAACCTCCGCCTCCTGGGTTCAGGCAATTCTCCTGCCTCAGCCTCCTGAGTAGCTGGGATTACAGGCACGCGCCACCATGCCCAGCTAATGTTTTGTATTTTTAGTAGAGACGGGGTTTCACCATGTTAACCAGGATGGTCTCGATCTCTTGACCTCGTGATCCACCCGCCTCGGCCTCCCAAAGTGCTGGGATTACAGGCTTGAGCCACCGCGCCCGGCGTGCATTATTATTCTTAAGTCTTTAACTAAGATTTGAGATGCTTGCTCTTCTTACCTTGGGTCAACTAAATCTTACCCATGTTTTCAGACTTAGCTCAAATCCATGTCCTTTGTGAAACCTTCATGAAGATCATTTTCTCTTCTGAATTTTTGTAATCTTTGTGGTTTATATATATTACTCATTAACATATATTTTGTTTCCCTGATTAGCCTGTTAAGCTCCCTTGGAGATATGTAGTTTAGATTTCTCTGCCTCTACAGTGTTACTTGGGCCTGTTCATTAGTAGGTGTTCAATACATTTTTTTATTAGATTGAATTAAAAGCATACTTATTTACTAAGTACTTTCTATGTGCCTGTCAGTCTTTGAGGTTCTGTTGAGTATACAGAAGGGCATAAAAAATAATCATTGCTTTCAAAGAACTTGCAATATTCTAGTAAACTAAAGTCAACATATAAAGTACTTAAATAACCACAGCATGGCAACTGCTTTAAGAAAGGTATGAAGTGCTTTGAGAATTCTGGGGAGGGTGAGATAACATCTGTTAGGGGTGTCAGGGACAGCAGAATAAAGAAAGGCTTCTTGGAAGAGGTGGCCTTTGAGATTAACTTTGAAGGATGGTTAACATTTTGATGGGCAAAAATGGGGATGAAGGTAGAATGTGAATTCCAGATTCATGATGACAGGATTAGTAAAGAGATGGATGGAGTATGTGGTAATGAACACTAAAACTCAGAGACTAGACATGAGGCTTATATAAGACATCAGAAATACAATTCTGCTTCAGGGATACTGAAGCCCAACCTTGTTTCCAATTTCAGGACCAATGCAAGGGATGGTAAACAGGGATGGAAACTTTTACCATGTATCGGACTATGTTCCCCAACTGTAGTTTCTTTGGAGGCTGATAATTATTTGCAACAATTCCTCCCCCACCCTCCACCCCCCCAAATTTGGACCTACCTGAAGTCTGGTATGATAGTGCATATGAAACAAAAGGCCCATTTCTTTTTCTTGGGGAGAGAGGGTTGCTTCAATTTTAGCCAGCCTCTATTATAAATCCAAATCAAATTGAATGCATTATTCATGATAGTCTAACCTTTTGTTAGGTCAGTAGTTCTGTTAAATAATAATTTGCCTTAGATCATTTCCTGGAAAAGTTGGAAGTCTTTTTGTGGAATCGCTTCAACAGTCATCCTTAGCTCAACCCTGTCTGTGCTTTTTGCTTCTGACTTGGGACTCAAGAAGAAGACCTAAGTCATAGTAAGTCTGTGAGGGGGCCTGACACTGCCTGCCTTCTTCACTTTAATGCTCTTTAATCTGACCATTAGCTCAGGGAAAAACAATTAATTTTAGAAGGCCCTCTCCCCTCATCCGCAATTACTTCCTCCTGCAATTGCGAAGGATGCTTCCCTGGAATTTAAACATCATCTCCGAAGGAATGAAATCAGAATAGGCAAAACCGACACTTTCTCAGTTTTCAAGGGTCAGGTGCAGCTGCAAATAGAAGCAGAGATTTTCTAGCACGCAGTCGGAAGGACCTTCACGCCCAGAGGCCCCCGAAGGGAGGGAGGCGGTTTCCTCGGCAACCGGGCCCAGGAGCTGTTGGCTCCCCGGCTCCTCCCCCTCCCCCGCGGTAGCCCAGGGTACCGCCGGACAGCGTCCTCCTGTGATCCGAGCCCTGATTGGCTGCGCAGGCCGCTCGCTGATTGGCTGCGGCAGATGCCTAGCGGGCCTGTGGCTATGGAGGCGGCGGCGGTTGATGGTTGACCGTTGGCTCCGGGGTAGGGGTCGCCGTTCGAGTGATCTGCTCAGACCCGACCAGAGGGCGCGGGCTGCTGACGCTCGGCCTCGAGCCCGCGGGGGAGACCTAGTTCGGCTTCACCATGCCGGCCGCCGGGAGTAACGAGCCGGACGGCGTCCTCAGCTATCAGGTAGGGCTCCGCCTCCCGCGCCTCCCGCCCCTCCCCGGGGCGCAGCCTTCTCATCCTCTGCCCACCCTCCTCCCTTCTGCCCCGAGCCCAGCTTCCCAGGCCGTTCCCTGAGGGCGAGGGGAGGCCAGCCCGGGACACCAGGGGGCGCTCCGGGCGGTTGGGGACCGGGCCGGGGCTGCGAGAGGGTGACCTTGGGCCGAACCTGGGAGCTGGCCCATCTCTGCCGCATCCCTAGCGCCGCCTGCCCAGGAGCCCTGACAGCCGGCGGGCGGCAACCTCTTGTTCTCCTCGCGTCTTTCTGTGAAAGGGGCCGGCGTCTGGCCTCGCGTGGTCCTGCCCGAACGTGGGCAGAAAGGATAGCCAGGGACCTTGCTCTGGTGGGGCACGTCTTCTCTTTGTGTTTTTATCTCTGGAGGTTTCAGAAAAGACTGTGGAGGCTGGGACCAATCCCTGATAGGGTGACCTGGTTTGTGACTCCCACTTCCCCATTGCACAGGCACCTGAAAACTTCTGGATAGGGACTACAAACTGGGCTGAGGATGTGTGGAGGGGTCAGGAACAGGTGATAAGAAAAGCAGGGTGAAGCAACTGATATTAGAACTGTTGGCGGCTAATGTAAGGAAAAGCATTGGACTAAGTGTTAGAGTCTGTAGGTTGAAATCCTACCTCTGCCTCACACAGACTTGGTGACCTTGAGTAAGTCACTTGCCTCTTTGAATCTCAGTTTCCCCAACTATTAAAATGGGAACAGTAATGTCTGCTTTGCTTGCTTAACAGAGTTGTTCTGAGGATCAAAGGAAGTGTTACTTTTGAAAGGGCTTTGTGAAGTAATGTTTATTGTGTGACAGTGAGTGAGTGGCAGCCCATTGAGATGTGTTCTGGGGTCATAACACACAGGGCCATTTGGAGCCTATGCCAAGGAAGTTGACATTTATCTGAGGAACAAGGAGAAGCCACTGGAGGGGTTTAAGTCGAGAAGAGAGGGACCTCTCCTAACCAGGAGAAAGAGAGAGGTCATGAGAGAGCAAATGAGATCATCAACATATTTTCCTATTGAAAGATTTCTCTGACTGTGGTGGGGAGAACAGCTTGGAACAGAAGTGAGGACACAGTGTCCTTAACATGCAGAATGTGTACAGGTTTTATCACTGAGGTCATGATGACACTTAGGTTTCTGTTAGTGTTGTGTGACATTAATAATTCTTGAGTACTTCTGGAGTAGGATAGAAAATATCTCCTTTATATCTAGTTTGTGAAATTTACATGGGTGGTAGGGTGAGGAGAAGAAGAAAAGGAATACATTGGAAACAGTAGGACCTCATGAAGGCTGGAGTCGGGCAAATGGGAACTTGAGAGATAGGGAGGAAAAGAGAATGACGGTGGAAGGAGGAAGGGAAATGGGGATGACTCAGGGGAGTGACAGTCAACTGATTGGCAATGACCAACTAAGCCTTCTGTGTGCCAACTAGGCTGTGTGGAGATGGGCCTTGTAAAGTGAGTAGATTGTGTAACTTGATGTAAACAGAGAGGTTCCAGACATCACATCTAAATATCATAAGGCTGGGATATTTTGTAAGATGTGAGCTACTGCCCTAGCCTTCTAATAGTTCCCTCTGCCTTCTTTCTTGCCTTTCTGTAAGTCTGCTCTCCACATGGCAGCTGCAGGGAGCTTTTAAAAAACACAAATCAGATCATGTCATGTCTTATCTTGAAACCCTTCAGTGGCTTCCTGGTGCATTTAAAATCCAAACTCTTTTATCATGGCCTACCAAGCCTGAATCCAATCAGGGCCACCTTCCCAGGACTGCCTCTCTTCCACTCTCTTTCTTGCACCTCCTCCGGCTTTCTATTTCTTCAATATAGCAAGCCCTGCATACCTCAGGAGCTTTGTTCTTGTCATCCCCTCTGCTTAGAATGCTGTTTTACCAAGGACTTCTCATGATTCAACTGGAATGTCATTTCCTCAGAGTGGCTTTCTCTGATCTTCAACCCAGGCACTCTCTTTAAGATGATCCTGTTTTCTTATAACATATGACTTATCTGAAATGTTCTTTTGGTTTCTTGTCTATTATCATCTCAGTTAGAAGCTTCTTGAGGGCAGGAGACAGGCAGAAAAATCTTATCATCTAGCATGGTGCCTGGTATAAAATTGGTACTCAATTGCATGAGTGAATGAACAGTGCTCCGGTATCCAAAGCCAGGTGCCTCCCCTTGAGGAGCTAATGATCTAGTCAGGATTGGCACAAAGCACCAGACCACCATCCCTTCAATACACAACATCTCGTCCCTCTACGCTGCTGTGCCTTTGCTCAGGCGTTCAATCTGGAAAACCTTTACCCTCCTCCCCGCCTAGAAAATTCCATTTTAACCTTCAAGGTCTGGCCCCATATCATTCTATTATATTCGTCACTTGCTCTCCTCTGCTCACAACACCTACCAAGTGCTATCTTCCCCCAACTCTTACTTATGGAATATACATATTCATCTCCGCTTTTCAGCTTACAGCTCCATTTGTTGTTACTGTTAACTTTATTGAGTGCTTGCCATGTGCCAGGCACCATGTTAAGTGTTTTCCATGCATTGCCTCACTTAATGCTCTCTATAACCTGAGAATTATGCAACTTTGTTATTGTTTTCCAAATGAGAAAAGAAAGATAATAAAGAGGTTAAGTAATTCTAAATGCCAGAGTTGCTTGTGGCCCTGCCAGACCCAGGGCTGTGTCTCTCCAAAGGATGTGCCCTTAATCACTGTGCATTAGTGAGGCTGAGTCTTTGATGCCTATATCAGTACCTGGCTTTGAATAAGCTCTTACTAAGTGTTTGGGAAGACAGGATGGGAAGAGACTGGAATGAGGGAGGCCAGTGGTGTAATTCAGGATGAGTTCATGAAGACCTGCATTATTGATCATTTTGATGAGATCTCTGAGGATGGTTATGGAATTTTTATTTATTTTTGAGACAGGGTCTCACTCTGTTCACCAGGCTGGAGTGCAGTGGTGTGATCTTGGTTTGCTGCAGCTTTGACCTCCTGCGCTCAAGTGATCCTTTCACCTCAGCCTCCCTAGTAGCTGGGACTACAGACACGAACCTCTATGCCCAGCTATTTAAAACAATTTTTTTATAGAGACAGAATCTCACTACGTTGCCCAGGCTGGTCTTGAATCCCTGGTCTCAGGTGATCTTCCCGCCTGAGCCCCCTGAAGTGCTGGGATTATAGGCATGACCACCACGCCCAGCTGGTTATTGAAATTTTAAGAGTCAATGAGCTTTTAATGGGGGGTAGTAATAGAGGAAGGAAGTCAGAAAGCTTTAAGGAAAGCCCCTACTTTGGACTGGAACTGGGGACACCTGGTAGCTTCATGGTTCTCCTGATAGTACTTTCAGAACCAAGCAGAAGGAAGTGCTGAAAGAGAAAACTGGTGAGGTTGGAACCCTCAGCATTTGAGCCAAGTGGTGCTGGGAACTGAAGGAAAGTTCAGGGAGGGTGAAAGTGGTAGATGAGGAAGCAAGTAAATTTGGGCAATTACCAAGGCTTTTATGTGGATCAGGTCTGCTCAGAATGGAGAATTTTGCAGAAATCTTCAGAATAATAACCCCTGGTAAGTGGGCAATAATTGAGAAATATGGCTGATGGGAATAGAGTTACACCCCGTGTCTTATGATGGACCTGAAAAAGCTCTAAGAAGAGCTCTGAAGGAGACCTGGATTCTAGTGCCCAGTGACTGTGGCACATGTTGGAGCTCAGTAAATATTTGCTGAGCGAATGAATGAATGGCTCTGTAGACAGTGGGTCAACTTTTCTGAGGGTCAGTTTATGGTAAGCAGTCAGTAAATATTTGCTCAATGTTATTGAACAAAAATATCAACTGTAGATAGCAGTTTCTCTTCTTACCACATTGCACATACCCCTCCACCCTCTCCTCACACATACTAGGTATTCTCTCCATATGTGAGAATTGGGGAACCTGTGGGCATCCTTTTTATCTGATTTTCCCAGATCTACTGGGAAGCTTCAGCAGGAGAGATGTGGGCTGCCTTGCCAAGCAGAGACTTGAGCAGAGAACTGGGGACAATTCAGACAGATTCACTTCCTTCAAAATCTGTAGATAATCGTCTTAGCTTATGGTTTGCCTTGGCAGGGTAGACAGGGTCATGGTAGTAATCAGGACACAGAAAAGCAATTGTGTCTATTCTAAATCTGCTGCCAGGTAACAGCAATGGATATTAGATAATAGAGAAGCTGGTTGTTTCCCATAGGTAGTAACAAGTATACTGGTCCTGGTCTTGGTAGTCAGGAAGTCGTATGTATTTGTTTTCAATTTCTGCATAACAAATTACAACATATTTAATAGCTTAAAAAATACAAATTTATCATCTTACAGTTCTGTAGTTCAGAAATCTGATAAAGGTCTCGCTGGACTAAAATCAAAATGTTAGCGGGACTGTTTCTTTCTGGAGGTTCTAGGAGACATTTGTTTCCTCACCTTTTCTGTCTTCTAGAGACTGCCTGCATACCTTGGCTCATAGTTCCCTTCCTCCATCATCTCTCAGAACCTGCTTTCGTCCTCACATCTTTCTCTGTCTTTAGTCTTCTGTCTCACTCTTCAACGTTAAGGATCTTTGTGATTACACTGAGATTACATTATGGTTTTCATAATTTAGGATGGTCTCCTTATTGTAAGATCAGCTGATTAGCAACCTTACTTCCATCTGCAACTTTAATTCCTCTTTGCCATTATAAGGGAACATAGTCACAAACTCTAGGGATTAGGATGTGCATCTCTTTAGAGGACGACTAATCTCTCTATCACAGTGTGCTACCTAGTAATATATACTGAATAGATAGTAGTGACTCCAAGTGGGGTTCAACAAAAGAGTCACTGAGAAACCAGAGCCATTTTTGAATTTTAGGTCCCTAGCAGACTGCTGAAGGGTCAGAATGGGAAGCTCATGGGTATTCAGGAGCCCATGGCCATTGAGAAGAGGAAGTCTGGAACAGC